AAAAAAACTCAAAAGTGGGGGGGGACCCCCCCCCCCCCCCGGGTCCGCCCATGCCCAAAATGGCATAACCAAGAAAATTTCTCTTGCTTTGAAAATTGACCGCTAATATGTTGTAAGAGACGGCTTTTCCACATTCACGAAAATGTTGTTAAGTTTTGCGGTATCCTGACCATTTGTCAACTGAAGTTAACTTGTGGTATGCTGTTCATGAACTCTAAAGAAAATTCATTTGAGATTTAAGTCGAGATTTCCATTTATTCACACATTTAAAATTTTTGAGTACTTATTTTTTGTTCAAATTACTAACTGTAAAATGTTTGCTACATGCATGTCGAACCATGAAGCTTGTCATTGTGGATCACAACTTATGCTTTATTGGAGGACTAGATTTATGCTTTGGCCGACATGTCACAACTGAGCACAAAGTAGGTGATTTCCCTCCTTTTCTATGGCCTAGAAAAGACTACTATAATCCAAGGTACATTATTTTTCTCATTAAGATGTGTAAGATCTGTAGGCAACTATTGAAACTTGGAACTGATAATATATGAGATATTTTATGTCAACATTTCGGTAGTTGAACTTCAATTGGTTAACGGATTTGATCACAATACATTTGTTTTCAGTTTAGTGATCCTTGGACCATATATTACAAATTTCGACGGTGGATATAAAACATATCCTAAATAGAGAAATCGTAGCATTGTCCTACAGATAGACCTATTAGGTAAGTAACTAAAAGCCAGTTATGTTTGATTGAGGCTTGATTTTCTTCTGAGTATGTAGAAGATATGTAGAGCAGTCCAGTGTTTCTGATGTATGTATTAACTCCTTTGAATTTTATAGAGAACCGGAATCAAATTCTTGGGAAAAATGCCGTGAAAGATGACCTGGATCAAGAGAAATATCCTTGTATGTCATGGCATGATGCTCACTGTGCTCTTTGGGGACCACCTTGCAGGGACATTGCCCAGCACTTCATTCAGCATTGAAACCATGCAAAGGTTGGACTTTGATACTTGTGTCTAACTCGTGAATTTTATCATCACTAATATATTTGAACAATAACACAGAAAAGTAAGGCTCCAAATGAACAGAAAATACCTTTACTTATGCTACAGCGCTACATGGTTTTACCGCATTACATGGGAAGAAGCAAAGTACACATTGATCATAAAAATTCTAAAGTGAATCACAAGGACATCAACAAGAAGGATTATTTTTCATCAGTCACTGCCAGAAGAAGTCCCATTGCTTTTACCTCCCCGAATCAAATGGACTAGAAACATCGGTTGTAGAACACAAGCTGAATTTTTTAAACTCAAATGAATGTCATGAAACTCCGCTACATGGGCATTTTGAAGGTCTGTCATTTGCTTATGAGGAATATAAATATGGTAATTCACTCCCTGATATGAAACCAAGTGGTTATGTTGGTGATCATGATTGGGTAAATACTCGAAGTGAAGCAATATTGGAAGCAGAAGCATCTGAATTGCAAGTTAAGGACTATTGATGCGATACAATAGAGCAAGTTTTTAAGTGTGTACTGTCCAATGAACTGGCACAAGTTGGTCCGTGTACTTCAATTTCGTCCGTGTACTTCATGCCATTGTCAAGTAAGAATTTATCTTTTTCATTGCTGTAATTTATTTGGTAGCACAGATTTGTGATCTTGCTTTGATGAATTTTTCTATAAGTAATCCTTTTGGGTTTTTACCCTGTCAAGCTTTTTCTTTTCATGCATGGCAGCACGACGTTTTTTACTGAAGTTGGTTTCTGACCACAATTTGAGAACCAGCAAAAATAGGAATTTTAATAGGGATCTAAGAGAATTTTGATTATATTGCGTAGTTCAAAATCCTGAGATCAGTTAGTGCAAGTTTAGTAAACTAGATAAGGCTCGATAATGTTAAGAAAAAAAGAGAAGTTAATCTTTTCTAATGTACTCTCGTGCCCTTTCTAATACCTGTGTTCCAAACTTATCAAAAGGCCAATTGACTATCAAGTTATAGGACCAGAATAGATAAAAACTGGCTAATGATGCCTCAGTCATTGTATATCCTACTAATCAAAAATCAACACCGTCAAGATTTAGTATATTTGAAGACACTTAGGTTTTTGAAGTTTAATTTCCACACAACCATTGAAAAGAAAGATAAGATGCAGACGATTCAACTGAAGAAACAACACCAACTATACTAACAACATTTCTATAATTCACAGGATTAGTGGGTTTTGCTCCATCCCGATTCGTCACAACTGGACTGATCTCGAAAGAACTTTCCCATAAGATTAATAACAGTTATACTGTGATATTTGTTTGCTCTAACATATGGTCAAGTCCCAGTTTAATAACCTTTTTTATCGTGCAGGTCATCAGAAGTGTCAGCCAATGGTCTACTGGAACAAGCCAAACTGAAGACAGCATTCATAGAGCTTATTGTTCTCTAATTGAAGAAGCAGAGAAATTCGTCTACATTGAGGTGAGATTTATATATGTACTCGAGTACAACAATAATACCATTGTTATGCCTTCATTTCATCTTTCGATTGTCAACAATGTCATATTATGTAGTCCTAGAAATGAGCTTTATTTAAGAAAATATAACTGGATGGTTAGGCTTGTTGAAGACAAGATTTAAATAAGTAAATATGTTCCCCTTCTAATAGTTTTAAGCTTTCAAATATTGGATCTTTGGTATTAAATTTATGTAGCTTATTAACTTTAGAAATGAAAGTTACATCAGAGTAAAGATATCTCTCTCTGTTACTTCTTGTTGGGTTTTGATACCCAATATTTTTACCCTGTCAAGCTCGGCTCTAAGGCTGCTTATTCTACAGATATGTTGTACTAATATCTATATTCAAACTTATGTAAAATTTCTTGAATGACTTCTAATTTATTGGGTTCCACAACTTATTTTCCCTACTGAAAATGGACATGGTTTTCTTTTCATGCATGGCAACACAACGTTTTTTAGTGAAGTTGGTTTCTGACCACAATTTGAGAACCAGCAAAAATGGGAATTTTAATAGGGATCTAAGAGAATTGCTTTCTGACCACAATTTGAGAACCGACAAAAGTAGAAATTTTAATAGTGATCTAAGAGATTTTTGATTCTATTGCGTAGTTCAAAATCCTTTGAAACCAGTTAGTGCAAGTTTAGTACACTAGATAAGACTCGATATTGTTAGTATATTTGAAGACGCTTAGGTTTTTGAAGTTTAATTTCCACACAACCATTGAAAAGAAAGATAAGATGCAAACAATTCAACTGAAGAAACAACACCAACTATACTAACAACATTTCTATAATTCACAGGATTAGTGGGTTTTGCTCCAGCCTGATTCGTCACAACTGGACAGATCTCGAAAGAATTTTCCCATAAGATTAATAACAATTATACTGTGATATTGGTTAAGTCCCAGTTTAATAACCTTTTTTTTTTATCGTGCAGGTCATCAGAAGTGTCAGCCAATGGTCTACTGGAACAAGCCAAACTGAAGACAGCATTCATAGAGCTTACTGTTCTCTAATTGAAGAAGCAGAGAACTTCGTCTACATTGAGGTGAGATTTATATATGTACTCGAGTACAACAATAATACCGTCGTTATGCCTTCATTACATCTTTCCATTGTCAACAATGTCATATTATGTAGTCCTAGAAATGAGCTTTATTTAAGAAAATATAACTGGATGGTTAGGCTTGTTGAAGACAAGATTTAAATAAGTAAATATGTTCCCCTTCTAATAGTTTAAGCTTTCAAATATTGGATATTTGGTATTAAATTTATGTAGCTTATTAACTTTAGAAATGAAAGTTACATCAGAGTAAAGATATCTCTCTCTGTTACTTCTGTTAGATTATCTCCTTATCTTTTGTTACAATTTGAATCATCAATCAGCTTAGTCGAATCTGAGTTCTTTTTGTATATTATCTGATACTTGCAGAATCAATTTTTCATATCAGGACTTTCGGAAGATGAAGTCATACAAACAGAATCACCTACTTGAATCTTTATATAATCGCATAATCCAAGCACAGAGATAGAGAGTTTTTCAGAGCTATAATTGTCATTCCACTCTTGCCCAGGTTTCAGGTGGTTATTTTCTACTCTGATTTGAGAGTTTTCCAATGGGTCTATCTTTCTTTTTCCAATACATACTTCTGAGTAAATAGGGGATGTGGATGACAGTGGTGCAGCTACGGTCAGATCAATCATGCATTGGCAATACCGTACCATCTGCAGAGGAGAAGGTTCGATGGTACAAAAACTTTGCTCAGAGTTGAGGGCGATAGCACATGATTTATAACTTTCTATGGTCCAAGAACCTATGGTAGACTTTTTAATGTTGATCCTCTGGTTACAAGTCAAGCAATATTTCAAATCATCCACAATCTATTCATATTCAGTGTTTCGAAGTGAAAATTTACTGTTGAATTCATGATGTAAAATAGTATGTTAGTCATCTTTCTGATAAAAATTGCATAAGTTGAACAAGAGCCAGTACTGATCAATCTTTCATGTCATTCAGCAATATCTTAACCTTATCCTTCTTCCAATGAGCTTTTCCTCTTCCAAACATGATTTGCAAGGCACAACGCGTACCATCCACATGATATCACCAATTACGCATATATTTGCATTTGCTTGTACTTATCCTGGAAAATGTAACTATAGATTTTCCTATGTATACATTACAAGATCATATAATTTGTTAGTGTGATATCCGCAAGCTTACCGAATCGTTGATAAGTAATAAAATTGATGAGTTGAGAGTATTGTCCCACAGGTAGGGGTGGGCGTGGGTTGGGTTGGGTTGGGTCGGTTTTTGCCCCAACCCAAAACCAACCCAACATTGTCGGTTTGTTCGAAATCCAACCCAACCCATGTAAATGTTGAAACCCAACCCAACCCAATTATGTGTCGGTCGGGTTGGGTTGGGTTGGGTTGGTCGGTTTGTATTGATGATTTCCATTAACTAGTTCTAAATTACAATGTTTTAGTTCATGTCTCAATTCAAATTTTCAACAAGAAAATCAGAACTAAAACGAGAATCTAAGAGAAATAAATGAATATATGGAAATAAACGAGTAGCCACTAAATAAAGTAGTGAAGATGAAGAAATGAGAGGTTAAATATGTTTCTTGGTCATGCTCAATGATCTATTAAATAAGTTTGTACAAA